ATTGCTTGAAGATGGACAGGGACGTCGTAGAAAGTTGAGTTCCGTGCACTGAAATGGCCTGAGAGGAATTTCTCTACGAAAAAAAACTGAATTAATAAAATAGACTATTGTCTTGACCTGAGTGATGTCGTTGTGTGAGTAAAAAAGACACGAAGCTCACGGTCACATTTTCGTTTAAAAACTTGTTCCACATATGAAATTACACTCTCTACAACATGTCCCACGACTGATACTAAAATACATTTTATGAAAAATTTTCTATAGGGCAGTAGGATCTAATTGCCTCCCATTCCTAGTTGATTTTATATTGATGTGATAATTTTTTTAATGGTTTATTTTTCTAAAAAAATTATAATTACCGGCTAAAGCATTAAACATCCCAGGTGCTAAAGAACAAATAAATTTCTAAAATTTAAATTAATAAAATCTATGCTTTTAATCAAATAAATTTATTCTTACTTACCAACAAGCATTCATCTAAAACTTGAAAACAAACAAATTTTTTATTCCAATTATTATTATTATTATTATTATTATTATTATTATTATCATCATCATCATCATCATCACCATCACCATGATGTTTTACTTTAATTTTTTATTTTTCCTAAAAAATCGAAATTTAATATTTCGACACGTTCCACACAGGGCTGGATTTTTCTTTAAAAATTTTTAATTAACTTCCGAAAAAAAGAGTTGCTGGATATTTTTCCTTTTTTTCATGATAGTGATAAACAAAATAAAAACAAATTTTTTTCTTTCGGAAAATTTTTGGCTAGGAAAAATTTAATATTACGTTTTCTTAGACCTATTTTCAGCCCTGATTCCATATAATCAGTGGAGGAAAATTGACCAATAAAGAAGCACCTTTGCGTACTATACTTTTGTCTTCTATACTGGATAATTTTTTTTTGTGTCTGCAGATAGAAAGAAAGTTTTAATTCATTATATTTTGATATAAATGAAAAATTACAAAGAATAAACGAATCATATGATTATTAATTAAGGAAATTTAGCTGCGGGTAACGAAGGTTTGTAAAAAATACCGTATATACTGTCCAGAACCGATTTCTTCAATAGGTAACCGAGGAGAATATTTTTCTAGTATGGCTAAGGTACGGAAATTATCAAATTGTTTTGCAACATCCACCTTCATTAAAACCTTTTGACCACCTAATTGTAAAATATTTAGTCTTTTTTTTATATTTTATTTTATTTTATTTTTTTTTACCAAAAAAAAACTTTACATATATATATAATTTTTGTATTTATGATGATAAATCTTGCGTAATGTGTTTGTGATAATTACATCAACTTTCCGGAAAATTTTACATTATCAAGAATTATTCCTTACTGTTACAAACAAACAACATTATTATAATTACAAAATGGATGGAATTTTTTTTGCTTATATATATGGTAGTTATTATTATTATTATCATTTACAAAAAATATTTCATCAAAAAAAAAAAAAAATAAAAAACTTTAATTTCAATTACTGATTTTTCGTAATTAAAAAGAAATGGATATAATTGGACTTTGTTTACCATTGATCAAAATAACAATAGAACTTCTAGAAGAAGCTTATAAATCAGCTGAAAATGCACGTTATACCAAGAAAACATGTTTATTATTATCCGATAGATTAGAAGCGGGATCACACGCTTTGTCTGATTTATATAGACACAGAGAAGAAAAAGATAAAAAAGGAAAATTTAAAAGTAGTAATTTTTATGACAATCTTCAAAGTTATGTAAATGCGGCAACTGAAATCAAAAGATTTATTGATGAGATTTCCAAATCGAATGAAACAATGAAATATCATTTTCATAAAGTGAAAGTTAAACAACTTGTAAAAAGGTACGATGATGCCTTTGCTGATTTAAAATTGGGAATAAGTATTGATAAATTTAAAAAAATTGGTGACTTGGAAATTATAATGGAAACTGAATTTAAGGAAATGACTTTGGTATAATATAGATAAATAAATAAATAAACATTTTTATTTAATTTATGATATGAATTTAATTCTAATCATTATCAATTATCATTATCTCCATTATTGTTATCACTATTTCAATATTAATAGAGTTTAGAAACAATAAAGGCCAGCTTGAATAATCAATCAAGTGATATGAAATTAACGATAGACACACTTGCATCAATGAATAGTAATAATAATAAACAGCAACATGACATTAAAGCAATTCCTCCTGGAGATTTAAAAGATCTAGAACCAAAAGAAGTAGTAAAACGTGGAAAAATTATTAAAAAATTATTGAATAGGATTGAACCAGTAGCATGTAAGCTACTTACAGATGAAGACTATAACGGAGAAAAATTTAATACTAATTTAGCAATTTTAAGCAAACTAGTTTTATCAAAAAATATAATAAGGTTTTATGGTATATTATCAAGTGACGATGGAGCCAGTAAAGTGATGGTATTTGAATGGGCTGAACATGGCAATTTAAAATCCCTTTATGAAAGGTGCGAGATTACTTGGAAACAAAAATTAAAAATTGTCCATGATGTTTGCGCTGGACTTTCTTTCCTACATGAATGCACAATTTATCACCGTGATGTTAGATGTGAAAACATTCTGGTGAGTAATTAATTTTATTTTTATTTTTGGTTTTTAATTCAAAAATAATAAATTGTTTGTTAATTAATCTTGAAAAAAAAAATTTTTTTTTAGATTATGGACAATATTGGAGAAGCAAAAATTGCGAATTTTTTTCTAAGTAAAGAAAATAATAAATATCATAAGAAACGTATTAAAACTATATATGATGAAGTTATACCTTGGATTTCACCCGAGAAACTTGAAAGTATTGATGGAGTCAATGTCAATGACTTAAAATGTGAAATATTCAGGTAAATGATTACATATATTATTAATTTTAATTTGATTATTTACTAATTTGATTTCTTTTTTAATTTTTTTAGTTTTGGCATGTTTGTCTGGGAACTGTCACATCAACAAGTCCCATATATGCAAAAATTTGATAATGATTGTGTAAAAATTTCTCAACATATCAAAAATGGTAAAAGGGAAGATACATCAAGTTTTGATCCCTTGGACGATATTCAAAAATGTTTCAAAAACATAATAGTAAAAGGTAAAAATTTTTTTTTTGTATGTGTGTTATCAATTCGAAATTGTCATATCTCCGATCCCTGTCAAGGGGGTATCTCTCTTATGCACCCCCAGGGCCCTGAACAATCTTTGGAGATGGTGATCGAATATCATTTCTTAATTAGAAGAAATTTTGTGATGATCCTGTAAATTATGGGAATAAAACCATCTCCTAAGATTGTTCGGGGCTTTATCCCTATGAACGAAGGTATAACCTTATGGAAATTGTTAAATAACATATCCCAAAATTTAATTTTTTACAACAATTTCAAATTGACTCTGATTTCAAATTCATCCACAACACATATATAATTATTATTAAAAATCTTTCATTTATATATATATATATATTGAATAGCTTGGAATCAAGAACCTTCATTACGTCGAAGCATGCCTTTTTTCCTTAATCAATTAACTTGTTTATACAGAAACCATTATTCACCAAAGATTCTACCTAGAATTTCTAATGGTGGTGGTAGTAGTAGTAGTAGTAGTAGTAGTAGTAGTAGTCTTGATGATTCATTACATACATTAAATTTAGATGATATTCAACAAGTAACAATGACATTAGAAGATGGTATAAAATTACACAGAGATAAAAGTTCAACATCAAGAAAAATGGCATGGGAATGTTTCAAATATCATGCTGAGACATTGAAGGATCCTAGAGCAATATATTGGAAGGGTTATTATTTGTTGGAGGGGTACGGTGGAGTTCCGAAAGATCTACGAGAGGCATCTAAATGTTTCAAAGAAGCCGCAGACCAAGACATATCTGATGCTCAGGTTCGCTATGCATTCTCTATAATAAGTAAGGTTGGCGATCCTTTGAAGGCTGCTGAATTTTTGAAATATTTGGAAAAAGCTGCTTTCCATGAAAATCAAGCCGCTTTATATAATTTGGGAGATATCTATTATGAAGGTAAATTAGGTTTTCCAAGAAATCAAAAACAAGCAATAATAAATTATAAAAAAGCTGCTTTGAAAGGTCATTACAAATCAATCAATAAACTTAAAAGTTTGAAAATAAATGTTCACGATGATTAAACAAACCAATGGTAATATTACAATTGATATGTTTTATTTGTATTTTTTATTTTTTATTTTTTATTTTTTATTTTTTATTTTTTATTTTTTATTTTTTTTACATGTTTAACATATGTTTCGCATCATTTGACAAAATAAAATATTTGTATGGTTTTAATCCTAAATTATTGCATGTGAAGCTACTCAAGATTTATTAAATTTATGGGTAAAATTTGATGAGTTCTCTTTTACCTGTTCCATTGACGGTCTTTGTTAGAAGTTACTCGTGTGTGACAACCATACTGTAGATAATGATGGTTATCAAAGTTAATTCAACACTAACAACATGAAAATAAAAATTTCAAGGCTACTAAGATCAATAAATTAGAAAACACAACATAGTGTCGCTGATTTAACTGTTTTATGTCAATGGATATATATTATTCATAAAAGAAAAGCCTTCAAATATTAGAATTAGATGGAAGAAAATGATATTATTATATATTGAATCAAACAATTGTTTTGTATATTTCTCCAATCTGCATCAATTTTGTTTCAGCAGAAAGATTATTTAGACGAATTAGATTGATTAAATGTGGTTTTAAGTTTAAAATGTCTAACAAATCATACAGAGAATACATTACCATTAAACATAGAAAGTGAAATAACAATGCCTATATGGGATGATGACAATATGATACTGAAAACCATTCAGCATGGATTGCATTCTGAATTTGAGCTCAGATAATTTTAAATATATAGAAATACTGTATGTAAAAACAAGCTTATAACTGAGAACGCAATGTGAGCCTTTTGCTTTTCGTGTTACAAAACACACATACCGTTCTACGCGAGAATAAAATTCAATTAAGTTGGGTTTTGCGTCTTCTTCGTCGCAAAGAGCAAAAAAATGACATCACTCGGGCCAAGGCAATAGTCTATTTTATTAAATTCGAAACATATAAATAGGACAGCCGTCCAAACTTTTTTTTTGTTATTTTTTCGTAG